TGGGAAGCAAACGGGGTAACACTCTAGAGCATGGGCCTTCAATCCAAACCCCCCAAAATAAATGTTTAAAACTCTGTATCTATTTGTACATTTTCAAGCTGACATCTAAATTTCTCATCGTAAGTTTAAATACTTGTAGAGGATGTAATTTCCAACATATTGTAAATATTAACATTTCAAAATAAAACTGTTACTGTGTCTCTTTCAAATGGACCCAGTGGAATTCTAAATACCATAGCAATTCAAGACCCACCGTCATCCATCTTAAAATTACAGAATTGGACGCTTCTTAAACACTTGAAAGATAGCAAGCCTTCTTCTGCCTCCTTGAATTCTATTTCCAATCCACATGCCTATGACATTTCCACTATCACTGTATTTCAGGTTTGAAGGCCTTTTTCATTGATTAATCTAACATACTATGAGACAAAAAAGAAAAATGTATAGGAATGTCAATTTTTTAATTTCACGTAGCCATAAAGGTCTAAGTGTCAAAATTTTTCTTCTGGATTGAATTATTATTACAATTGCTGTTAGCACATAATAGTAGAATCAAGACAGCAGAAATATAAATTCTATATAGGTAATAATCATAAAAATTAAACTTTATTAGAAATAAATCTTAGAAGAGATGAATGGTAATGCTTTTAAATTATTTCACAAAGCCACAGATGACTATTACCTACTGCCAGAATAAAGCAGAGTTTATTATCAATTCTATCTCCATTTTTCAAATTTTATAGTGCTGAAACCACCTAGTCAAATACATAGAAGGATGGAAAGAGATTTACCATAGCAAATTCTCTGAATTCCTTCAGAATTATATGGCAAGAATTACAGTAATTTATTATCAAAACTCAATTTTTTTTTCCAATCTGGATGCCATTTGTTTCTTTTCTTGTTCTTACTGCACTAGTTAGGACCTCCAATATAACATTGGATATAAGTAGTGAAAGTGTCAGCCGCTCAGTCATATCCGACTCTGTGATCCCATGGACTGTAGCCTGCCAGGTTCCTCTGTCCATGGAATTCTCCAGGCAAGAATGCCATTTCCTTCTCCAGTGGATCTTCCCAACCCGGGGGGGGGGGGGGGGGGGAATGTTTCTTCACCATTCCCGACCCAGGGAAAAAAGTTTATTTTTTCACCATTACATATGATATGAGCTGTAGAATTTTTGCACAATGCCCTTTGTCAGACTGGGGAAGTTTCCTTCCACTAGATTGCTTAGGATTTTATGCTGAGTAGACGCTGGACTTTGTCAAATGTTTTTTCTGCATCTAAGGACTTGTACCTAGAATATAGAAAGAGTTCCTAAAATTTAGTAAAAAAAAAAAAAAACAAACAAACCCAACTTTTAAGTGGGCAAAAGATTTAAATAGACACTTCACAGAAGATATACACGGATGGACAAGAAGGACATGAAGAAGTATTGAGCGTCATTAATTTTGAGGGAGATGAAAATGGAAATCACAATGTGATACCGATGTACACATACTGAAATGTCTAAAATTGAAAAGACAGAGGATACAAGGTATTGACTGGAATGTGGAAGAACCAAAAGCCATGAGATCAGCTGTGGGAATGAACAGATGAGGAGGCCGAGGGTCTGCAAGGCTAACTTTCATCCGTGTATTCCCACCCCTGCCCTGGAGAGGTCACATACAAATGCCTCCTTCCAGCAAATGGCATCACTGCCTGGTAGACAGTGGTGCCCAATAAATGCTAGCTCTCTTGGTGTTACTACTGCTGCTCAACAGCAGGAAGAACAACTCTTGCAACCAGGACACACACTGCAGGTCTCACCACCATTTTACAGTCTTGGTTCCTGAACTGAGGTCCCAACATCCTTTTTCATTTTAAAATATTAACAGGAGCCAAAGCCCAGGTAACAACAGGTATGAAAGCATGTAGTAACCAGAGCAATCTATAAACATGCAGGAGAGACCCAGTTATCAGAAAAACCATGAGCTTTACAGACAAACCAACTGCACTCAAATTCAGCTCCACAAACCAACTGAGTTCCTCGAGAGGAAAAATTCTGAGTCTCAGTTTCCTAATCTCTAAAATGGACATGAAAACACCATTCAGATCACTGGGTGGCTGCACAAAGTAGGACCGTGCCCTTCAGAGCACCTGGCACGGGGAATATTGAGTGGCAACTGTGGCATGCTTACTCTGCTCCTTCCTCTCCAATCACTGCCCCCCAGAGACTGGCAAACACCCATCGCCAGCATCCAGGGGCCCACCAGCCTGGGGTCTGGTGCACAGAGGCTTGGCTGATTTTGGAAAAAAAGAAAAAAAGGCCAAGTGGCTTGGTTTCCAATTTCTACAAAGAGTTTTTACTCTATATCCTGAAATTTCAAGTTCTCCAAACACGCAGGGATGCCAGGAGGAGGTGAACAGAGAGGCATCGTGGTGGGTTTTATTTTTAGATGCTGGCATGGAAAGCATCCAGCCTGCCTTCATGCTGGTCCCCAGCTGCCACTTCCTCCCCCAAGTCATCACCCAAATGAACAGCAGACCCATCAAGAAAGATTTCACAACTCTTCTTCTGCCTGGTACATTCTAAAACAATGGCTCCAGTTTCCCGTTCCACCCAGAGACTAAGTGGATTAAAGGTCTTGGTCTTCCTGGGAAGCCGTGCAAAGCGAACACACTGACCCCTGGGTTGGCCCTCACATCCTGAAGCTCCAGGGGCTCCCTCCGCCTGCCCTCCTCCTGTCCCGTCCCATGGGAGGGGTGGCATCACACTGGGTTATAGCCTAGGATCAGGTGTGAACAGGGATCAGGTACTGGGGACAGAGACCTCTTCTTCACCTTTTAAGCAGCCACTGTTCAGGAGCACATGAATTCATTGCCTCTAAAAACGGCTCCCAAGAGAAATTTCCCCGCGGACCCTGATGGAGGCTGTAGCTAACCTCTGGGAAGTACCTGGCCCTTCACAGTGACCTCCAGCTATAGCTTCAACTACCGGTCTAGGTTTTGGTGGTGAGTACAGCAGCATCTACAGAGGATCGGGGGCTTCCAAGAAAACCATCAAAGACGATTAAGAGATGAAATTAAGCCAAAGTGTCCTGGAGCGGGAGACACCAGGCTCCAGAAGGACGAGTACAGCTGCATCTGCTCTGCCCACCGCTGGACCCCAGGCAGGCATTACCAATCCATCCCTGTCCTCAGACATTCACAGACTAAAATCCTCTGGGCAGCCAGTACTAATCAATCAAAATGGTGCTGAAAGCATTACTTTTGAGTATCCTTTGGACCTCCCCCTTTCGATGGATGGAGAAACTGAGGTCCACAGAAAAAAGTTCAGCGCAGATCATGAAACAGCAGAGCCAAGATGAGGCAGGATGAAAAACACACAGCTGCTGAGAAGCTTCCAGAAATGACCTCCTCTTCCAAAACAAACCTCAGCCTCGGGGTGACAAGTTCAACCCACAAGCTATGAAGAGGGAGGCCAGGAGGAAGAATTCAGCAGCCGGCCACCACAGCGGCCAGACGGAGGCGCCCAGCCCCACCCTACCCACCACCCACACTCTCTGGGTCCCAGGGGCAGAGCGGCTTGAGGGCCCCACCCCCTGAACCTGCCAGGTGTGGGGAGCAGGAGGGGAGCCGAAGTTAACAAGGTGGATTCTGAGAACTTCTCAGCAGGCTGTATAAAAGCCTTCCTCAGATATTCTAGCAGGTGGGCAGGCTTCCATCAGCCCTGATGCAGCCCTAGTCTGGGTTCCACTCTCTGCAGCCCCAGGTAGAAGAAGGGCCGCCAGCCAAGCTGCACACACAGGCAGACTCACCCTGGGCAGGGACAGGGAGCCCAACCAGGATACCCTCGGGACTCACCAAGCACCTGTTAGGTGCCAGGCAGAACCTCTGGTGCAAACATCACAGCCTGCCCCTGACGAAGGGTCTGAGGGCATCTTCACGTCCACGCAGAGAGAAATGGCCCTCTTCCCATCCCCCCACGAGTCATCACTGCCAGGACAAACGGAGCTGGCCAGTGGGCACCCCTGGCGTGTCCCCGCCCCCCACCCCTCCCCACTCTCAGACAGACCCAGCCTCCTGGCATCACTGCTGCTGTCCGAGCTTGTCATCCATTTGGGGCCCACAGGGCAAGCTCCACACCCCAGGAGAGCTTCTCTCTCCAACTATCCTTCCTTCTCCAGCTAATGAGCTCATCTCATGTATGTGTATGTGTGTGTGGTCAGTCATGTCCAACTCTTTGCGACGCCAGGGATTGTAGCCTGCCAGGCTTCTCTGTCCATGGGGTTCTCCAGGCAAGAATACTGGAGTGAGTTGCCATTTCCTCCTCCAGAAGACCTTCCTGACCCAAGAATCGAACTGGCTTCTCCTGCGAATCCTGCACTGCGGGCAGGTTCTTTACCGCAGCGCCATCAGGGAAGCCCCAGTGAGCTCGTGATCCAAGTCCAACCCAAAGTGAGGCAACACGGGGTCAGGAGTCCCTGCCGACTCAGTTCACGCCCCGGGGCCAGGGGAACATCGTGAAGATCAGATGCGGCCATGGAGAGCAGAGGACCGACAGGGGCAGGGACGCACCCTGGGGCAGGAGAAGAGAGGTCTACGGAGATGAGGAGATGACACCACGTGGGCCGTGATACAAGAACGGCCCAGGTAGAACTCTCGTCCCCAGAAGGCTAACAGCTGAGGCACCCAGGGCTGGAGTTCCCCTGAGGATGGCACAGACGGGCCACAACAGCATCCAGGACCAGGACATGGGGCGATGCCCCCTCACACTGCCCACCCGGGCCCAGGTGCCACTGCTCCCCCACCGACAAAGCACAGCAATTCCTCAACCCCTCCAGACCACCGGCCCCAGCTCCTGTCCAGCCTGGGCAGCAATCACGTCGATTCCACAGAAAGAGAAGTTAAAACAAGAGCAGGTGGAGAGAGGCCAAGCGCCCAGACTCCTCCGGGAGGGGGGAAGGTAAGTGCTGCAGGCCCCTTCCACCTGCACAACGGCGAGGGCACAGTCTGTACTCACCTGCACGACTTCTATGCCTCGCTTCCTGTGGAGAAAAACAAAGAAAACACAGGTTACTCCGGCAGGGAGGAAGTACCCTTCCAGCACCTTCACGAGAGCCAGCTGGAGGCAGGGCAGCGGCTGCACCTCTCAGGCCGTGGTCCCCGGGATGACCTCGCTCTCAAGGGGGATGTTTATGAACCCCCAGCCAGTCCTCGGAGCCTTCTCTTCTGGCTGAGAGAGAAGGCTGGGTGCCTAGAAGAGGCTGGCTGGAGTCTGCCCATCTGGCCCACAGCCAGCCATACCCCACTCCAATCCCCGGGGCCCGGGCTTCGTGGGCACAGCTCCAGCCTGAACCACCCCAAGAAGACCCTCCGCCCACCGATGGCCTTAAGCCAACCACCCACCCCCACTCTTGCCCGGGCACCCCCAGGCCTGCCTTAGCCCATCCCACTCCAGCCCACCCACCCTCCACAAGGACCAGGCCCCAGGGCCCTCCAGTCCTGCCCAGTTACTCGTCTACCGCAGGCCATCTCAGCCCCTGACACCCACCCATCCTCTGACCCTGGTTCAACCACCACCATCCTCACCAGTATCCTCCCAGGCCTGGATCTTGACGCCCGCCACCGACGTCTCCCCCACAATCCAGGACCACGTGCCCTGACTCGCCCCACCCCATAGAGCTGGGGTTGGGGTCCAGATCCCCATAGAGGCACACAAAGGCTCCCCGCTGCCTCGCCCACCCACACTCCTTACTGCAAGCGGTTCGGGGCGCACAGGATCAGCTGGCATCTCTAAGCCTCAGGCCACACTCTCCATCCCAGAGCCTGGGACTCGGCTCTGACAGACACCCTCCCGGGAAGCCTTCCCTGACTCGCGATGTCTCCCTGGGCCCGTGCACACAGGGTGAGCCTGGGGCACCCTTCCTTCCCACTCCGTGGTTCGGGAGCAGCAACGGGTTGTCACCCCGGGGGCGGAGCCCATGTGGACCACAGACAACACAACAGCCAGGCCTGTGTGTACTTTCCTGAGAATAGAGACTGGGGGCCCCCACCCCCACCCCCCTGACGCTCAGAGGAGGCTGTGACCAGGCAAGGTCAGGATCTGGGGTTCCCTCGCACACAGGGCCTCCTTGGAGCGGGGTCAGGTCAGGATCACTAGCTGCGCCCGCCCGGCATCCAGATGCCCCCTGAACTTCAACACATGAGCTTGGTTCCTGTGCCCAGCCTGGCCCGCAGGGGACCAGACAAATGAAACAGCCATGTCTCGGGTCACCAAGGGGCTCACTGCCTGAGGCAGGCACGAAGGCCTGGGGACACCTCTGGGCCACAGTGAGCAGACCCACCACCTCACGCAGTACAGCGGAGGAGACACCTGCCGATCCTGGCATCTGTCGTTTAACGGCTCCCACGAGAGTTGCCCAGCACCTTCTGAGCACCGGGCACCGAGCGGAAACGCACGAGGTGGACACCACGTGAGATGGTTAAGATGCAGCAGAAGGGTGACTGGGTCACATGGCAGGACACGCCTGCCGCCCACCCCTCCACCCTCAACCCCTCCCCGGACCCAGGGCCCCGAGGAACCCCAGCTGAAAACCACAGCGGCTGATGGTTTCGCGGTCCCCACGGCGAGCTGCTCTGCAGTCCTGGAAGGAACAGCAGCCGACGTCCATCAGTCTCCCTGATTTCACGAGGGGTCGGGCTGGACACAGCAGCACCGCCCTGGGCCACCAGGGCCCACGTGAGGGGGACGGATGGTGTCACTCGGAACCTGCACTGCCTCCAGGCATCAGCTCGCAGCCCGCGCCGTTCCTTTCTGAGTCCCAGCATCACCGCCTCCATCCCCGAGGGTCCTGGCCCCCCGGGAGCACTGGAAACAATAACTTGCCAGGGACCTGTGACTGGCCAGGTGAGGCTCGTGTCTCCTCGCCCTGGCTCAGCCCCTGCCCCCAGCCTAGATGGAAACCTCCAACAGCTGAGGGAGAAAGAAGCCTCAGGTGACGAGACTCCAGACAGACGGACGGACGGCCTGGAGGAGACAGGCTCCTGTGCACATAACCCGCGCCAGGTGGGCAGGGTTTCTGCCAGGCGCTGGCCTGGCCTGGCTTCTCCCTCCGAGGGAATTCTCTCCACATCCAGATTACCCCGGCATGCGGCTCTCACGTCCTTAGGAAGCCAGCTGCTGCGGTCACTTCCGATCCGTCCACATCACACAGCCCAGACGGTTCCCACCCTCCTCCCCCGTTCTAAAAAACAAACAGGACTCCAACTTTGAAAACAGATGGAACACATAAAATAAAAGAAACAAACAACAAAAAAAAAGTGGTCTTGAGGACAGACTGAAAGCCTCAAGTGGGGCTGAGCTCCCAGGAGCCGGCGCAGTTTCTCTGCAGCTCAAAGGGTCAGAAACAGGATAAATGGCGCTTCTGGCAGAAAAGAGGGGGCTCGGCTCCCCTTTCCACATGCACCTAGCCACATGTACACCAGACACGCTCACAGTGTGAGGAGGGAAGGCTCACTGAGCGCTCACATCACTTTCCACAGTGATCGCCCATTACTCTGACCAGCGAGCCTGAGACCCAGGGGCCTCCAGAGAGCAGCCAGGCTCCCCACCGGCCACGCAGTCATGGCACAGCTAGTTCAGAGGCACCAAGAGGGAAAGCTTCATCTCTGTGCCCCAGGGCCTCGGTGTAACGGTGAGGGGGGCGGCGCCTCGTGTAACGGTGAGGGGGGCGGGGGGGGGGGGCGCCTAAAGAGGCAAACAGAAAACCACGTCCCGAGGGTGGGATGCCTCACCCTCGGGAGAACAAGGTCTAAGCCTGCCAGGGTTCAGACTTCTGCACCTGGAATTTCTGCAGAACAAAGGTATCAACAGCCCCGTTTCCCAAGCAACAGGCTCCGGAAATCTGGTCCTAACTAGAAAGTTCAGAAATTAAATTGTGACACCAAAGGAGAAGCGGGAGGAGGGGGCGAAGGAGGGAGGGAGACGGGAGTGGAAGAAGAGAAGACAAACCAAACCTGCCGTCAACTGAGTAAACTGCTCCTCCTGAAAACCCCAGCTCCACGACCCTGGCCCACAGACATACTCGGACAAGCAAACCATTTTGGACTGTAAATGTTAACTGCCACACTGCCCAAGAGAGCAAAAGCCTGCAGCGCCTAAACCCCCCAAGAGGGGCCACTAACAAATGGCGTACGGTCAAAGGAATACCATGCACCAGATTAAAAGAACGAGGAAGTGCTCCAGGCCCCGCAAGGGCTGCATTCTCTCCAAGATACTGCTATCGAAAGTAAGATGCAAACCCTGTGGGCCGCACACGGTGACCTAGGTTCAGAACAACATCCTGGACCAAAAGGCATGCTTGTGTCCATGCGGAATGAATCTGAAGGAACAACCAGAAAACAGTTTTGGCCCGGCCTCTGGTCATGAGCAAGGACAAAGGTGTCTGAGAGGTAAAAGGGAGGAAACCTCCTTCTCACTGTGCAGCCTCATGCATTTCTTGAGTTTTGTGCCATGAGCCTCTAAGGCACGCCCCCAAACTAGAGAAATGTACTGTTTCAATTAAAAAGCAACACAAAACAGTCGCCAGCATTCCAAGGTCTGGCATAAAGATGCCTGATGTAGACAAGGGTCAATCAACCAGTTGATGAAGTGGAACAGAGGAGCTCAGGATTTATCTAGAAAAGCTTCCCAGTGCTGCTCAAAGGGGAGCTGCCATGTCAACCTCTCCAGGGCCTGGCAGGCATCAGAGCATCCAGTTAACCGGATGTCTAAGCCCACTTAACTACTTGGGTATCTGTGAAACAGATATGGAGGGAACTGCAATGTTAAGGTGGCGCAAGCCGTAAAGAACCAGCCTGCAGGAAATGTAAGAAACACGGGTTCGATCCCTGGGTGGGGAAGACCCCCTGGAGGAGGGCATGAAAACACACTCCAGTATTCTTGTCTGGAGAATCCCACAGACAGAGAAGCCTGGCGGACTATAGTCCATAGGGTCACAAAAAGTCGGACACGACCGAAGCAACTTAGCATGCATACACGCAGCGGTAAAGCGATGTGTGCTTCTTTTTATTTATTTATTTATTCTATTTATTTTATTTTCTGGTAGTTTCTAAGTTTTCGATAAGGAGCATAGATACTACGAACACTTCTAAAATTATAGAAAAAAGTAACAGTAAAAGTTAAACAATAAAAGAATTTTACCTAAAACCTGTGCCTCGAGAAAAATCCCAGCTCTAAAACTGTCATTTCCTTGATAAATATTGGATTCATAAGTTTTGGACAGAGGCCTACCTCACCACTCATAAACTTGCTTTTCCAAAAGCTGGCTATCTGATGAAGGGAGAATCTGCTTTGCAAAAGGGACCTCCGTCCCCAGACATCCAAGGGAAGCATACCCTTGGGGAATTTCAAATCCTTCCAGACCTTTCCAGGGCAGGTACAAGACCCAGGGCTGCAGGCGAGTAGACCACAAGCGAGGGAGAGAAATTAGCAAGGGAGACAGGATGACGCCCTGTCAGAGGTGCCCTCTGCCCACAAGGCAAGAAGAGTCCTGTGATAGCTGGGAGAACTCCAGAACCTCCGAGAACAGAGCTGAGGCCAAAGAAGAGTGAAGTTGCCAAAAAGGGGGCCCCTCGGGTTCATCAAGGAATGCTTTCTCACGACGGGTGCGGCCATGGCCACCGGCCTCCCCCGCCCCAGGCATGGCGGAGGCTGGAGAGGCCCGCTGTGGAGGGAGGCCGGCCAGGCCGCCTGGCAGCGGTCTCACAGCAGAGGGAATCGACCCGGAAACAGGGGCTTCCCCCACCACCCCCAGTGGGCATGGAGAAAGGACCTGCACCTGCACCAGAGCTAAGAACCACTTGGAGACAGGAAATGTGTAATTATCTAAGTGGAAGCCAGGCATCACTCGCATCCCAGCCAGCTCGGTAATTACCAGATTTCAGGAGCCCCGAATGACACGGCCTTTAGCACCATGAGGCTGGCGGGCAAACCTCCCACACCCCCATCTCTCCCCAGCCAGCAGATGGCAGGGCCCTCAAAATG